ACGCGGTTCAGCCTTTGAAGTGACTGCGGGTGGGTGTGAAAAGCGATAGGTGAAGGGCAAGAAGTCAAGGAAGTGAAAGCTGGAAGGGGGCTGTGGTAAAGACTAACGATTTATGGGGATCATGGATGGTACATCATGAAAAAAAAGACGATAAGAAGTTGGATCAATCATAATTGGCTAAGAAAACTTTTCAGGAAAGTCGAGGAGAAGTTCCCTCCATTCATGGACACTCAGAAAGCGAGTACGGAGCCACCGAGGCCTGGAAAGTACGAAATGTTCAATAGTGGATAATTTCATAATGTGAAACAATTACGTCATTCATCTTTCGAGTTCCTCGCTATAACAGTGTATGGATAGAATGCTGAAGAAAGAGAAGCAGTTTGGAATAAATCAACGGCGTGAGCGCTTCGCGTGGAGTGGGTGCCTAGAGGCGGGCGGTAAGTGCCAAGGCCATTGGTGGAAGGATGGCGGGAGGGCGCTTCTGGCCATACCCCTTTCAGCTGCTCCACCAATGACGTTGGCACTAACCGCCCCCCCCCCGGCCATCGTGCTCACTGCCTTTGAATGATTCCTTGAATATAGACAGCAGTGCTAACTGGCAACAAACTATGAGCTTCTTTTAAGGAAGCCTGTGGAGAGTACCCGTCCTTCACCCAAGTTCCACAAGTATGTCCTTTTCTTTGCAGTTGTTGGACACTATATATTTTTAGAGAGAGCGTCCGCGGACCAACGTCCAGAAGCTTTTCAGTGCACAAGATGGCAGTGTCAACAATCGCACAGGACCCCAACTATAAAGCGCCGCAAAGGAACCTCACGTCTCAGTTACAACAATCTGACTCCGCCTTCGCTATATGGATCCCCCTTTATCATTTCGTTCAACTTGACTATGTAGCGATGGGGTCTCCATCGACTGTGCACTCTCTAAAGCAGATTGTTGCTTGTTCCTCTCATCTGCGCTCACTGCACCTGTATCATTGCTCATAAAAGGCTTAGAACCAACAGCTGCCGCATTCAGAGGGTTTCCGACGGATTCCGCCTTTTTCTTCACTGTGAAATCACTTATCACACATTCTTGTTTGAGGATCGCTACGATACTTTGCATCAGCTTCCACCAGCGTGTACGGGCGTCCACAGCGCGACCACTAACGTTCCGAGCGTCCGACAGCGTCAGCGACTAGGGAAGTATAGATATCGATCTAGCGCCTGCCAGCGTCTTGAGAGCTAGGGAAGTATGAGTATCGACCCAGCTTCTGCCAGCGTCTACCAGCGACCAGCAGCGTTCACCAGGGACCATGAGTAGAGGGCATGGGGAAGTAGGGGGGGCAGCAAACAGCTGGATTAGGCGTTGTGGAATTGCGGCGTGTACAACCGCATCGTACAACTACAATACAGTGTTAATGTCATGCTGGGCTTTGGCAGTTGTGCGGCGCGGCACAGGTCGCAACTTCACGACGCCCAATCCAGCTAATTCTAGTCTCCTACTTCTACACTACTTCCGGCTGCTGGTGAACGCTGGCGGACCCTTGGCAGACGCTAGAACGATGCCTATACTTACCTAGCCCTCGAAGCGCGTGGATGCTGGGAGACGTAAACAGACGCCGGATCGATACCTATACTTCACCAGTCGCTGACGCTGTCGGACGCTCAAAACGCTAGTGTCGCTGGCGAACGCTGATGGTAGCTGCCGCAGAGTATGAACGCGGCCTAGGCATAGCGGATAGAAGGCATAGGTGGCGTGCGGGCAGCTGATCTCGCTTACTGCCATAATTCCGGAATCAAATCAAATAAAAATTTGAAAAATAAATCTCTCATCAAGCCACCCATGCTTCCCATCGTTCTTTATAGTTTATATAGCGCCATTATCCGAAATGACGAAAATCCTGACTTGCATGTCGCATTTTCTCAGTAAGCATTCAAGAGTCACTAAAATTCCGGGTGGAAGTACACTGAAGCACATGGCGAACCAAAATGGGGGCCTGATCAAGGACCACATAGCATATCTCCCTCTCAGCAAAGTTGCTTGTTAACGTGCATACACTTAGTTAATACTTGCAGAATCGAAGGTTTCGGCGAGGGAATTCCTGCGCAACCACCTTCGGACGGTGTTGTTCGGAAGCCGAAGCGCAAAGAAGAGCAACCACCTTCGGATGGTGTTGTTCGGAAGCCGAAGGGCAAAGAAGAGAAAGAGTCACCAATTAAAATGGCTCTGCCGCCAGAACCTAAGGAGACAACCCCCACCAAAGTTCCTCATTCACCTGCTCGGAAAGAACCAGAGAAGATGCCGACACCTCCAGCTCCTCCCCCACCAAAGGAGGAAGAGAAATCGTCTCATGGAAGGCGAGCACCACGTAAACCAAGACACGAAGAGGTGGCGGAGATCAGAAAGCCACCTGAGAAAGAACGTCGGAAAATCAAGCCTGAAGAACCCGCTGAGTTCAAGAAAGAAGTCCTTCCACCAGAACAATTACCAACTCCTCCCCAACCATTGGAAGTGCGTAAAGTATTACCACCCCTTCCACAACCTGTGGAAGTGCATAAGGAGTTACCAACTCCTCCACAACCAGTGGAAGTGCGTAAAGAATTACCACCCCCTCCACAACCTGTGGAATTGCATAAGGAGTTACCAACTCCTCCACAACCAGTGGAAATGCGTAAGGAATTACTACCGCCTCCACAACCATTGGAAGTGCGTAAGGAGTTTGAGAAGATCGAGGTTTATTCGGCACCACAAGTTGAGAAGGTTGTTATCGATCAGTACTATTAGAGTCCATTTGAAAACATTTCTGCTAGCACACCTTTCAGGTACGCCCGATTGAACCAGAAAGGGCCCCTACTGTGCTTCCTCCTTCGCCTCCAAGACCACTCAGAAGAAGTCTTGAGGAGATACAGGTACCAGTTGCCATTATTTCGGAATTTCAAAGTGTAGAAGAGCGCTTAATTCAGGTGCCACCGCCAAAGCCGAGATCTAAGAAAATGTCACCACCACAAGAGCCTTCGGCAATGCCGATACCAGTGCAGTCAATTCCAGTCGAGCTTCGTACAGCCAGAGAATATGAACAACCACCTGCGGAGCCTGGGCCACAGCGTAAGAACTACGTAAAGAAAAGGGTAATTGAAAGCGATTACGTCGGCCATGAGCTCCGATTTCAGCGGGTGAACGACTTCGGGTCAATATTGACGAAATATTACGTCTCGGTGCCATAATGGAGCGGCGACACATGAGCTCTACTAAAAAGGTACTTTGAGTTCTACAAATTCTTAGAAGTTAGGGGAATTTTGAGGAACTGATATGAATACCTAGCTGCGGTATGCCTTGAGACCGGCAATCCGATTCCCGCATAACGACCTTGTCGGAACTTTAATCCTCGAAGGAGGCGCTGGGTTACAAGCAGGCCACATGGTGTACATACATCTCTAGGACGACTGAAGAGTATGTGGCTGATCTTGAACGTTTAGGCTGAGTAGGTCCTTTAACGATGCGGTGCAATTCGCCATTGAATTACCAGTCTGATCTTAAATAACACATATATAAAGGGGGGGGGGGGTGGGAGGGACCAAAAAAGTCATTTCGAAAGAGTCACATATCAACAAAGTATTTGCAGCCCAGAGAGAAGATGTGGATACGAGTACCAGGGCGGAAGATATCCAGGAATGTTCCTCGATAAGCAGGAGCTGGCCCTCACCCATCACTTCGTGTACACCAAAAAAATGAGGTCATCTCCAGTCGCAGCCTGACTGGAGAAGACTTTGGAATTCATGTCACCTCCAAACAGCTGCGAAACTTCCAGAGTGGAGTTACCCATGGGTAGCTACCTGGAGACTATACTCTCAATCTGGAAGACCTCCAACAACGAGCAGCTCGACAACGTCGCTACGGTCTAGGACATCATCTTCACCGCAATTGTCAAGGAGCGGTTTGATGGTATGGACGGAGGTACCTGGATGAAAAGACCATATTTTCTTCGTGGACCCGGACATAAGGTGAGCGCGTGCGGTTACATCGAGCAACTCGAGAAGGATATCCTCGCCACATGTCGCCCGCCACTATCTTCTTGGAAACTTGGTACTGCTACAGCATGGGGGTGCCACCACGTGGAATCGAAGGGCGTTGGGGAAACTCTCGCCTAGTTGGAATGGAAGGAATCTGAGTATCTAAAGAGATGGAATACCAAGAAGGTTATCTGACCTATATCCCTCGATTACCCAGCTCGGGCGGAGTTCAGCAGTTGGTCTACAGTGGCGGAGCAATCGACTATTTCGCTGATCTGCAGGCACCACATCGCGGTCGCGTGCAAGAATCTCTCAATGGCGCTCGTCCAGAAGGCTGTGGCGGAGTTTTTATAATACTATTCAATATGCTCTTTAATATGTTGGAGAAATGTCCGATTAGAATTTATAAAGTTACCAGTCTGGCTGGCGCCACACTACTGTGGCGCCTGACACTATAGAGAAATGCGAAAGATTTATCATAGTTAATGTCAATTTCTCTTCTTTCTCATGTTACACTCATTGCTCTTTCTGGGGGTTCTGTTGCACACGTTTACTCTAAGTGAGCCTCCACGATGGCTATTTTGTGTATGTCATTGTGTTTCAGCAACACTTTCCCTCACCTATATTCAATGTCGTCCTCAACTACACTCTTTCTTCGCCCGCGTAACACCAATACTTGTTAAAACTTAAAGGCAGTTGATAACTACCTGAGAAAAAATTTGCTGTTGGAATCACCGCGGCGCAATAAAGCGATTGGAAAATGTTGGCTGAGATTCAGTGGTGTTCTTATCATACTTCTACATCAGCATTCCCCGGTCATATCATCACTTTGCCCGATGTTCTTTCTGTTTTTTAACCAACATCAGATTTGATACATGGTTGAAATAAGTCATTCGTCAGATCCAAAAGATTTTAGCGGCTGTATAAAAAGAGGGACATAATGAGCTTTATGTTCTGAATCCTTTTATTACTCTAAATTCATCATCTTTCTCCATTCTCCGTTGTCATTCGCATTGTTCTAATCTGATGCCTCTTATTAGCTCTTGTCAGTAGGTGTCACTTCTTGTCACTTACAATAGTGCCCCTTTTCCAAGCCCCACAATCACTTTTTGGGAACCAAAGTCTTGCAATCGCTCGCTGGTGCACGAATTTCATTAATGGTACTCACAATGGCAGAATTTATGTGGTGGCCCCCTATAAACTTCGCCTTTTTCCCATGCTTCAAAACACGGCCCACTTTCATCGATGATTTTCCTCTTTAATGAACATTTGCCAACGTACTCATGCTTATCACAACACTCACCAATTCGTTGGAAGTCGAGGCACTTAGCGTTGAAAGAGTTTTCAATGGTAACAATATCGAATCATGAAGTGTTCTAACATCCTAATTCTTCCGTGAGCAGCTTTCACATAATCGGTCTATTGGCGACTCTTATCATTCCTCACTGCAAACAATTTTATTCTTTTACCGAGAGTTTACGGTCGGATGAACTCACGACTACATCCTAAGGGATAGCAACCTCTTTGCTCACTAAGGTTTAGCCACTAATTCTTGGTCCACGGTGGTCAAGTTCAGTCGCAGGCACAGCAAAGAGTGGCAGGCTCCCGTCGTTGCTCCGACTCTTGCATTGAATTTTGAGGCCTTCCTGAAGCGGGCCTCCTATGGTACTTATCGGCTGTTATCAGGTCTGCTACTCACAATAATGTTCCTATCCTGCCCATATATTACTTCTTGAAAACAACGTTTCTACCCTTCTCTGTGGACGCGCACTATGATCTTGCTGAACTTCCTTTCTAAGGCTTCCTTAAGGTATTTATCGCTGTTATCACTTCCTGCACCGACCAATAATGTTCCCATCCTGTCCTCTACCTTACTTCTTGGACCCAACGTTCTACCGCTGCTGTGACGCGCGTTATGATGTTGCTGAACTTCCCTTTCAAAGGCTCCTTAAGGTATCTTTATGCGGCTGTTTCTCACTTCCTGCCACGACGCAATAATGTTTCCATCCTGTCCTCACCTTAACTTCTTGGAACCCCAACGTTCTACCGCTGCTGTGATGGTGACCCTCAACCTTCTAAGGCTCCTTATGGTATCTTATTCGCTGTTTACCACTTTCTGCCACCGACCAATAATGTTCCGCATCCTGGTCCTCTACGCTTACTACTTCTTGGAACCAACGTTCTTACCGTGCTGTGACGCGCGTTATGATGTTGCTGAACTCCCCTTTCTAAGGCTCTTAAGGTATCTTATCGCTGTTATCACCTTCCTGCCACCGACGCAATAATGTTCCCATCCTGTCCTCTACCTTACTTCTTGGAACCAAACACCCTACCGCTGCTGTGACGCGCGTTGTGAATTTGGTGACCCTCACCTTCTAAGGCTCCTTATGGTATCTTACAACTGTTTATCACTCCCTGCCACCGACGCAATAATGTTCGTGCACGACCCCTACATTACTTATCAGTTTGAGGGCTCTATCGCTCTCTTGAAGAAGTTATGAATTTCCGGTCAAACACACAGACACACATACATTCACACACACAGCACCACACCAGACAAACTTAGCGGATTATATATAGTAGGATGCTCTTTATATGTTGGTAGAAATGTCGAATTAGAATTTATAAAGTGTAAACTATAAGCACCACGAAAGTCACTGAAGAAAAAGTGACTTTTTTTGTGGCCCCACTATCAATGGTGCTCATCATTGCAGACGGTGGGCGCGGTTGAGCCGCGGCTGCGCGTGACTCGGCTGTGATCGCTGCCGCGTCACCGCCGAGTCACACGCAGCGCGGCTCGGCCGTCCCCACCGGTCTGCAATGATGAGGACTGTATGTATGCTGATTTACGCGTTGGGGAGCGAGAAGTACAGATCTCTCAAAGGTGAGGGTCTAACTCTGATCACTGTGGCGTATTTCCCGGACCGTTGCTCGCTCCTACATCTTTGGATTTCTGTGTGTGTGTGTGTGTGTGTGTGTGTGTGTGTGTGTGTGTGTGTGTGTGTGTGTGTGTGTGTGTGTGTGTGTGTGTGTGTGTTGTGTGTGTGTGTGTGTGTGTGCTGTGTGTGTCGTGTGTGTGTGTGTGTGTGTGTGTGTGTGTGTGTGTGTGTGTGTGTGTGTGTGTGTGTGTGTGTGTGTGTGTGTGTGTTGTGTGTTGTGTGTGTGTCGTGTGTGTGTTGTGCTTGTGTGTGTGTGTGTGTGTGTTGTGTGTGTTGGTGTGCTGTGTGTGTGTGTGTGCGACACAGCGCCCAATAAAAATAAGGCCTCTCCGACTCCCAAATAAAAGTTGAATAACTCTGAGTGTCGAAACATAATCTTACAAGTTCTAAGACATCGAGAGATTTGACGATCCCCGTCGGCCCTGAAACGCAGCAAATATGATTATATGAGCATCATATAGTGAGCTTCTAACACAATACACATGTACTAGATTGTTTTACCCTTTTGAAGTTGAGAGAATACATCTAGTTTACATTTCATTGAAATGCTGGAAGATGACACGAAGGCAAGCTGTGCACTCACATCCGAAACAGTCCTTCCTATGTGCGAGTGAAAGGGTCCGCAGTCCGCAGCTACTTGTGTGCGTCCTTTCATTTCTGGTTGTCCTCTACTACTTACTGTGTGCTCGCCGCTTTAATGACGCAGGTGCTCGAAGTGCACAGAAGAAGGGAAGGAGAGTCATGATACCAGTTCTCGCCGTCTCCCACATCTCCCGCCTTATCCTCAACGTGCAAGTGCTACACGTTGAAGATAACGAGAGCAGAGTGGAAGCGGCAGGAAGACTAGTATCATTACACTTCATCCTTTTTCCATTGCTTGGGAGTGGTGGCATTTTACCGACAGCTTCGGCCCACTGACTTCGCCCACGACAATGATAGTTCTTAGAGATGAGTGCGCGGATCCCCATTGAAAGCATGAATAACACTTTGTTCCGAATATGATATAGGTGGCTATTGTCTCAAAAGTGAACAGTCTCTAGCAGTGCTAACATAAGTCACGTGTGCACTGTTAAAGAGAGGCAGCATGGCGTTACCTGAGATGGCATAGTCGGCATTAGTGTCATGCCACCATCTCACTGAAATACCCGGGCGACGTGGCCAATGATAAGCCTCCCTCATGAGTGACCCTCTGAAGCACGTGGGACGCGACAGCCGTTAAGCTTTAAATTCATAAAAATTGAAAGAATCTGGGAAATGGCTTGGTAAGTCAGTACTTACACATAAACGTAGATGCATCTGCGTTAAGCACAATAGGT